TCATCCTCTGCCCAGATCCCATCTTTCTACGGTCGTGACTCTCTCATTTTCTGAATTATTTTTCCACGAGTCGTTTGCAGGGTCGAGACTCTGGGGACGGGGTGAAAAGAGCAAGGGGAAGAAAAAGAGAGATTCGTACGGTCGGCGAAGTCCGTATGCCACACACATCCCTCCATCTCGAATATATAGGCGACGACAATGCGACGATAGCGACGGAGAAGGATACAAGGACACTGTGTGGAAGAAGACGGTATAAAGAAACGAGAAATACTCTGACCCGTATTCTTGCCTCTATCTTCACCGCCACATTTAGCGCACTAAGCGTGGCCATCGAAGTGTGTGGGCTTTAGGACCGATCCCTGGGACGTCCGTTAACCCCCAGCTTCGGGGTGTGTTACCCGAGTCTGGAAATACGAAAGAATGGGATGTTTTCAATTATAGTGAATGATGATGAATAAAATATCTATTTTTTTTTTCTTTCTCTCTGTTGCTTTCTTTGTAAATTTATCAGAGAAGATATTGTATTCTTTTTTGTGATTCACTCCAAGATCAAGAATGACTCACGCAATTCTTTTTCACCTCTTTCCGAGCAAATGTGAAGGAGGAAGATGGGAGAGACAATTGAATTATCATTAAAATTAATCGCCGTCCCGAGAAATCGTCGCTTATTTGTACAAGGATCGGGTAGGCATCGCGTTTAGCGCCGAGTATGCGACCAGAATATGGGATCTTAGGAGACCACACGAATCCCGCTTGCCACGCGGACGGAATTCTACGATAGAATTCTACGATTCCGTAGCCGATATCGCGGTCGGGCCGACGGCGGCACCGGGCGCCAGAAACGCCGCCCTCCCTCCGCCCCGTAATCTGGCAGTGCATTTAACCACTTTGCGAAATAGCCGTATATCTCCCCGCTGTGACGTAGCATTCGATATGTCGAGAGTGCGGGATTTGGCGGTGAGATCGGCAGAACGCGGAGTGGAGGACGGGGGAGAAAGTTCCCGAGAATAAAGAGACGCGAAGGCCCTCGTAACGGGAGGGGTTGAGGGAACCCGGGGGTGACGAGTATAGCGACGACTACGATATGCGCCTGTCCCCTCCCCACCGTCATACCCGTTTAGGAATAGATGGTGTCCCCCGCCCCGCGACCAGGGTGGGGTTGTCCGGCGGTTGGTAGGGGATGGAAATGCTCCCGATTCGACTCGGCGTGGAAGGCGCACGAGCCGACCACCGCCATCGGGGGTTGGAAGTGGGGATTTGTTACAGGGAGAGTATCCCTAGGTAGCACAGGGG